CGCAGCCCTACCTGCCGCTGCCGGAGGCGGCGGCCGAGCAGGCGCAGGCCGACCCGCTCACCGTCTACTTGGTCATCGCCCTGGCCGCGGTGTCGTCGCTCTTCCTCTTCTCGGTGCTCGCGTTCATCGCGGTGCGGCTGTGCGGGAGGAGCAGGGCCGCCTCGCTGGGTCGCTGCTCGGTGCCTGAGGGCCACTTTCAGGGCCACCTGGTGGACGTCGGCGGAACTGGGACCTTGTCCCAGAGCTACCAGTATGAGGTGTGTCTGAGGGGAGGCTCTGGGACCAGCGAGTTCCAGTTCCTCAAGCCGATTCTCCCCAACTTCCTTGCTCAGGGTGAGGAGAGGGTTAGTGAGGCAAACCCCAGTTTCAGGGATAGCTTTGAATTCAGTTAAGTATTAATTAATAAGGATCTACTGAGCCTAGTCTCAGTTAATTTGTGGAAAGTCCTTTTTTACTGCCTTGCACATTGGGGCTGTTTCTTTTCATTTAAATGTAACTGTCATATTCCAATTCAGTGCATGTTACTTGTGTTATTAGTGTTGCTTTGTGGTAAAATGAATGCAAATTTTCTTTATATTCTTATTGTTGATAAGGCTCATTGTGACAATTCGATTTAAAGCATGAAAGTAAATTTTGTATTTCTGAAGTCTTTCATTTTTAGGTTAGAGCACCTTTTTCCAAACTCACCTCCCACAGTTCCTAGGTAATTTTGCAGTCCTACATTTTTAAACATTTGCTGTCGCTACATGGGGTTATTCTTTTTCTGACCCAGAATTTTTTGTATGTATATTCTCTTAGGCTAGTGTAACTTTTATCCTGTGAACTCACTTTGGCTAAAACCATTAGCAGAGGTATAGTCATGAATAACAGAGCACTCTCTCACATTTTTCTAAATATATACTTCCTTAAAGTGTCTATACATGAAAATTACGATTCTTTAGAGATCGTGAGAACCTTGACTGTTGGATTCCACAACCATTCACATTAAAAGTGCTCAATAAATCAATCACTAATATTCTAAAATGTAGTTAAATAAATAGCATAGGGCAAGTCATTTTCAAAGGCATGCTAATTCTTTGTGCTTTCTGTTTCCAAAAAATTTGTTTAACCTCTACTTATTTCAATCTCCCCTTTAAAAAAAAACCCTCAGTTTTAATTATTAAAAACTATCTATTAAATTTGAGCACTTCATTAAAATCCAAAAGATTTGAGGGAATATATGTCTTTGTCCTTGACCAAATTTTAGAAACTTCAAATGTAGTGTGGCATTGCATTTTTCAAAAGTTTCTGGAGAATTTATGATTCCATTGGAAATAAGCCTGTGGGAAAAATATTTATCTTGGTCTGCCCATTCTACTCTTTTTTTTTTTTTTTTTTTGCACTGACTACTTCTATTTTTCCCCTTTCAGTTTCCTAGACTTTTCAGTGCTTTTCTTTTTAGGTGCTTGAGTTATGTTTCTCAATAGCTCCCCATTTATTGCATGATTAGCGCAATGACTGAAAGATTGTAGGTTCTTAGTAAAATTTTTGAATGACTGAAAGAAGAGTCTTTACTTCACCTGTGATAGATTAATATTTAAATATACTAAAATACTCATAGGACAAAATTTTGCTGGAATTAAATGCTCTCTAGCTTTATTTTAAGGAACTCATTTCAAATTTTATATCCAAAGGAATGTAGAGAATGTCCAAACCACCAATCTTATAATTTACCCTGTTGAGTATAGTCAGATAATGTTCTTTATAATACTCCTAAAGGAGCTTTGTCTATGATTAATGAAGTTTGTGGATAGATAAGAATGTGCTTTCTTTAAGATGAACCATCTTTAAGGTGTACCATCTTTTTAGGGGTATAGTACTTACAAAAGAAAGTAATATATTTAATTCATTTTCTGTTTTGACATTTGCAATTAATATTTCAATATTGTATATGTTTATATTGGCCACAAATCAACAAAAAATATAGACTAACAGGGAAAATTACTCTTAGATTTGCCTAAAGTGTATTCATGATGACTGAGAAAAAAATTAAACCTAAGGCATTTTGAACAACTGATTGTGCTTTTCCATTAGGTACGAAACATCATTTAGTAAAGGCATCTGGTGGGATGACAATTTGGTTTGTAAATTCTGAGATGTAAATGTTATCAACATGAGAGCAATTTTTTTTAATTTCAAGAATGTACAGGTATATAGGATCCCAAAAAGCTTTATGGTAAAAGTGGTGTTTATCCGATCCTACTTTTAAATTAATGTCTACTTGGCATTTACATGGTGATATATGACGGAAATATTTTCCTTGTTTCCTGTCTTAGTTCATTCCTTCAGATTTTGGTCTGACATGACTTAGGATTATGTATTGTCCTTCTGGGATAAACACTGTCCATCCACTGTCCATGTAGTGTAATTAAAAGAAGATATACAAGATGAAGAAGTTCTAAAGAGGAGAGAGCAATATCACTGTGAAAGTCTAAATTAGCTACGACTAAGAATAAAATCTGGAAGCAACCAAAACATCAAATTTTATGGCTATTTTGAGTGAAATAGAAAACTTATTTTTAAGTAACAAAAGATTTAGTCCCCAATTAGGGAAGTTGATTAGGAAAAAATAAATTTTCTCCTCATGGGCATTTTCTCATCCAGAAGGATAGAACTTTTGAGAAATTAAATACTCATGACTAGAAGAAAGAGAGCTGAAGTTTCACAAAGATTTTGAAAATTCCCCAAAGAGAAAAGGAATGTTAACTAGATGTTAACGAAACTTATTGTGATCGTTTTGCAATGTATACAAATATCAGATCATTATGTTGTACACCTGAAACTAATATAATGTTATATGTCAATTATACCTCAATAAAAAAATCCCTCATGACTGTAAAAAACAAACAAAACTAAAATTTAATATTGACATGCCTTCAATCACACATTGAAGTATAGCTATAATCACATTAAAATGGTGTCATTTTATCTAACTAAGAATCAAATGCCTGAAGCCTTAATAACCAAGGGAAAGAGAGTATTTCCTTTCACTCATTAAGTACTTTATAGAGATGTTTGAATCTGGCTCTTTCAGTCATGTTTTTTTTTTCTTCTTTTCACACTTAGCTAAATTTTCATGAGGATCAGGAAAAAGGCAAAGAATTCTGATCAAGACTTTTCTTTATTTGGCTGGCTTAGTTCCAGGTAGTGTCAGAGCCAGGGAAGTATTCCATCTGGAAAATATAGAGGCCAGTTCTTTTTTTGGCCAATATGGTATCTGATCTGGGACTAAAGTTGGAGGGGCTATGTGCTGAGGAGTCATTTAGACTCAGAAGATAGAAGAATAGATACTGTTAGTAACTTTGTTGGTAGATGCATTGCGGTCACATATTGTTGAGAAAGTGAACAGAGTTTAGTAAAGCCAGAAAAGATCCTCTGGACTCAACTTGAAGATTGGAAACAATTACACCTTTCTCTTGGTTCAAAGTTGCTTTTATTTCTGGGCTGTTGGAAAACTTTTACCCTTTTATTTGAAGAGAACTTTCAAAAACTTGATTATCTGGATATTTTATTATGTACAGGACAGAGAGGATACCATATGTATAGTCATAACTATTGTTGCCACTTGTTGGAATTCCCCAAAGTCTAGCACAGGTAAAAGGGATGACTTTCAATGTTAATAATAACTTTCTAGTAATTTTTCTTCTAAGAGGACTAATAACTCCATTACTGTGAATTCTTTCCAAATTGATCTCTCACTAATATTCTAATTTTCAAAAAGTAAGGGAAACTAAAGAAAATTTGAACCCCCGACCCCAGAATACACTAAATAACCTTGCTAGACCCTAAGGAACTTGAAGGTAGAGTCTGTTTCTGTTTTATTCAGAGTTGTATCTTCAGCACATAGCCCAATGCCTCACACTTAGTAGATGCTTGAATAATACTTGTTGAATAAATAATTTTTAAAATATTTGGGAAATCAGTGAATTTTTCAAGGACTTGTTTACTTCGAACTTATCTCCACATTTAAATTCAAAAGAACTATCTACTTTCAGAAAGGGATATGCTGTAAGAGTGTAATTCCAATCCCCATAGAGCAAATGTATTAATTACTTGTCCCCCTTCACTTGTTGAGATTTCTGGAAACTCAGAGAACTGTAAAATAATCTCCAATTGGGTTCCACATTGAACTTGCTCACATCTTTGATTTCAAGAACAAAGAAGAAATGAAGTATAAATAATTTTTAAAAGCAACTTCAACTTCCAAGACTTTCTGTTCATCAAATTAACTTCCTGAAATCTATATGTAAGTTCTCTGGCCTCCAACTGGCTATTCTACTGAACTTTGATTAGTCTTCATGGTATCAAAATTAAAGGAAATTTGTAAGATCCCAAAGGCTTTGAATAAACTTTAAAATAGCCAATCATTCATTTTCAAAATATAATTCTAGATAGTGTGCTTTCTCCCTTTTCCCTCTCTGAAAACATATCAATTCCTAAATAATTTAAATATTTCCTTGACATTTACAATCTAGTTTTTAACACTGAAAAGCAAAGAGACAAAAATGAATTTTAAACTTTTATGTAGGGTTGTTAAAAGGCTAAACTATATTCAAATATCACTCATTAAAACTAGTGAAGTAACTTACCATAGTTTTTATAAGTCTTCTTTAATCCTTAAATATGGCTTCCTTGCAAATTAGGATTTTTTTAAAATGTGAGTTTTTCTATACATCCCACTACTTTATTCTGGGAGTCTTTTGCTTCTTAGAGAAATTGTTAAATGTTTTAAAGCTGGAAAACTATTAGTCATAATTCAGAGTTATTTTTATGTCTAATACTAATATTCTTATCCAATAGTTTGGTTGATCATAGATTTTAAAATTTAAACTAATTTTCCTTCTGTTCTTTTGGTATTCAACACTTGATAAAAAGTATAATATCAGTCTAGTTCTCATTTTTTTATCTGTAAACTTGTTTACTCTCTTTTAGATTTTTTCTTTATTCTTGATTTTCTAGAATATATATATATATATAATACTTTCTAGATCTCAACCTGAGATTCACCCAATATACTGAATTTCTTTTGTTTGAGGAACTATAGTTTTCTTTTTCAAAATTTCCATTCAGCAGGTTTTCACAACAACTTGTTCTTTTTTCACATTTGCTATTTTCTTTTTTGTTTGTTTGAGGAAATTAAATATCTCTTATGTTTAAATTCTTTCCATATTGTTCTGAATCTCTATTTCTTATTTACACATTCTTTTATTTGTTGAATCTATTTTTCACGCTGTTAGTCTTCCTCATATGAGTGGTGATATTTTATTGAGAACTCATCTCCTACTGGCGGTTTCCCTCACACCAGTACTGGTTTTGGTAGTCTTGCGGAAGGGACGCAGGAGGAATCTCAAGGTGGTTCCAGCCTCAGGCTCTACAAATCCAAGCCTTAATTAAGAAGCTTAGCTCAACTTTGCCACAAACAGGTAGAAGTTCTGGACCAACACCTAATGATGTGTTTGAGCTGGGCCCCAATTTCCCTTGGGTGGCACTGCTCTACATTTGCT